GATCCTGGCGTAGGTTCCTGGGGAGTCCAGATGCTGCAGGATGAAGTGTAGGGCCATGTTGATGGCGTCGTCTACAGACCTGTTGGCTCTGTATGCAAACTGCAGGGGGTCCAGGAGGGGGGCCGTGAGGGTCTTGAGATGGGAGAGAACTAGGCGCTCAAATGACTTCATGACCACAGTGACAGTTGTAGTAACGTGTCGTTGAGCATGTGCACGTAATCAGTACTTTTATATATAAAGATGTAAAATATATACAGATTTATTTATGATCAGCTGTTGTGGTGAGATACTCCAGAAATTACATTTCATAACCTGGAAATGAGCAAGCAGAAGATCAGGAGTGCTGATTATTGATTGACCTGCAGTAACTTACTAAGGTCAAAGTGACTAAGACCTCAGAGTGTCAACAGTTACTCAATCAGACTTAACCACACAGATGGCTTTTCATAGAAAAATGTTTAAACCTTTAAAACTAGAAAAAAAATCGCTCATTCGGTGCCAGAAAACACATAAAATGCTATTGTTGTTGTCATAAAGCACACCCAGGGTTTTTTTTTTTCTTTTTTGTAAAGGGGGTTCTGTAATTTTAGAAAGTTCCCATTTACACGAGGAGTGAGGGTCACTTCTGTTTTTTGCTCATTCAGATTGAAGATGTTTAGAGGTATCTGGGATTGTATCTCAGCAAGGTTGTTCTTGGGAGGAGGGTAGGTTTGTGAGTCATCTGAATAACAGTGTGAGGGGAGTAGGTGATGCTGAAAAGCCACCCACAGAAAAAATGTCTGCTGGTTAAAATAAGATTTAAACTGCTAAAGAGCAGTTCCTGTAATGCTTTCACAACTCTCCAGTCTACAGACAAGCATGCAATAATCCACTGTGTGTAATGCAGCACTTGGATCTGAAAGTAGCAAGTACCCGGTCCTGGAGCTGAAGCTGGTGACAAACAACAGAGAAAAGGAGTTTGGAGATCATTAAAAGCAGTATGGCATGTTTAAAGTCAACTGGAACATTCCCAGTCAGAAGATGGGTGTTAATAATGGACAACACTCAGCCCAACAGTTTAAAAATACTAATTTAATATAATATTAGTCTAATAACATCCTGGCAAGATGGTGTCATCCATTTGACCATATCTTGATGGCATGGTGCTAAGTTACCAGCTAAAGGTGCCAGTATACCCACCATGTTACTCGCATGCCGTCTGTGACATCATTACACATTGATTTCTGCTCGCTGTTCTGACCGCTGAGTCTCCTGAACAGTAGGTGTCAGCACCAGATGGTAGCGCCACATTAACATTGGTTAAAAGAAACAGGGGAAGATTTAGTAACTGGAGCAAAGCTTTTTTCATCTTTGAATCTCTATGAGTCTCTGAGCGTACTGTACTGATAAATCATTAAAATCAACACTATCTTACACTCGTGCCTTCAACCCAGCGGCAGCAGTAAAAGCACAACGCGCCATGTTACAAAAAGCAAGAGTTGTTTAACTTGTAGAAATGGTTGCTATGCATATGATGTCAATTTGATGCCAACTTTATCGTACATCGCAGTTAACAAGCCACTGCAGGGCGGGTATAAAATTTAGCGGGCTTTATTAGTAACATCCAGAAAAATGTTTGGTGCCCTCTGGTGGCCATAACAGAGGTCCAGTTCAAGGACTCCAGCTAGCTAAAGTTAAATCTAGCAGACAGTCAGCAGCTTCAGCCGTGTCACCATCCACCTGTCAGTCAAAGAGGTCACGCCTCTAATAATGCAAAGTTTAAACCTTTATACAATTTAATTTGTAAACCTGTTTAAATAATTTAAACAGGTTTACATATAAAGGGGAAATCAAACGTCTTTTTTTCTGCTGTAAAGTTTTAACATGGGAGTCTAAGGGCCTCAAGTCAGGTTGCTAGTTTAATAATAAAAAATAATACATTAAAAAAAGCCTTGACCTCCCAGATTTGGACATATGCTGTATTGGTAGCTGAGAGAGCCATGGATGACTTAAATACTTGTTGATCCACGTAATCTAAAATCTTCTGTGATCAAATAACTGAATAATAAAGACCTCTTCTGTCTGTTTAAGCTTTTGGGGGTGGACCTTCTCACAGTTTATTCACAGACTCAGATCCAATCAGACTTACAGTTCAGTCTGATAAACGTCCCCATCGGGTGCCAAACAGCAGTCTCTCAGACTGGCAGATACAGACATGTTCAGGCTGCTGCTCCTGCTGTTTTTAACATGGATGACCTCAGCGCTGGTCAGGTAGGACAATTACACCTTTGTTAATATGGTTGTTCTCTTTATATTAACAGCTGTCCATCCACCAGGGATTTAACAATATAAAGTCTGATTTTCTTCTTTGTTGTACATTTATCGAGGTGCTGTTTAGTGGACCTTCCTCTGTTGAGCCAAAACTAGGCCAACTGTTTTCAAATCAAAAAAGACAATTTGATATAAAAAGTTTACAGAGATACTAAAATGTTCCATCGTCAGCATACCTCTTAGACGGACGCGCTCAATTCGTACTCGATTGCGAGCTGATGGCCTGCTGAATGAGTTCCTGAAGGATCACGCCCCTGACATGATTAATCGCCGTTACGCTCAGTGCTTCCCGTCCAGCACGCCGTCACTGAGGCTCGGACGCACCAGCGAGAGGATCTACAACTTCATGGATGTAAGAAGAACAACACTGAGAGTTAGGGTTGCTGGTTCAAAGCCTTCAGCTATTATCAAAATATCCAGTGAGAAGTTTTAACCTTGTTACAGTGATTTAAATATTCCTCTAGGGGTCAGTGTTGTTCATAAATATGCTGATTTGTTAAGAATGATTATCAGATTTAAGGGAAAGTTGCTCAGTTCCGAAATATCAGTATGTCCTAAGTATGCAACTTAAGCTGGACAGAAGCAGTATTAAGTATTATTACAGAAGCAGAAATAAAATAAATAATAAATAAAAAGTTATCATTTGTACTGCATTTCCATTCTTTATGTCCTCACAAGATATATGTTCCCAAAGTAAGACGTAGTTATTTCCTACATATAGAAGTTTTAAAATGAAAACAACACAGCCCAGTTTACTGAATAGAAACTAACTTAACTAATTTATACTATGAAAACAAAGGGAGTGCCAAGCTGGCCAAAATATGTTAGCATACATGCTAACATTAGCATGAGCATGTCACAACCAGCTACCTTTTTATTTATCTCAGAATTTTTCAAATTAAAATCTCAGCCACACTTTGTGCCCCTGCTGCGTTTCAGGCTCAGTTTTATGGTGAGATCAGTTTGGGGACTCCAGAGCAGAACTTTTCTGTGATTTTTGACACTGGATCAGCTGACCTCTGGGTGCCATCATCCTACTGCATCAGCGAGGCCTGCGGTAACACCTTACATAGCACCACACAATACCACACAACACCAGTGTTGCATTTGCAGGTCAGGGCAGCCTGACTTTGGTTTATTTTGTTCCAGTCTGATAAGAAGTTCAAAGTCTGTGTGTGTCTGTGTGTACTTGTATAAAGATGTTGTAGGCACATAAATCTGACAAAGGCAAGTCCACATAAAGTAAATAACATGTAATGAATATAAGAAAAGATAATGTCTATGTGTGTGTTTGCATTCACAGCGCTCCACAAGCGTTTCAAGGCATTTAAATCAGCTTCGTTCAGGCATGATGGTCGGAGATTTGGGATTTACTACGGATCAGGTCACCTGCTTGGAACTATGGCCAGAGACACACTGAAGGTCCAAAAGCTCTCAAAATTAAAAAGCTAAACTTCAGTATTAAAATTAACTAACAGCTGCCACGATTAATTTCAAAAATATTTTCATCCATCAAACTCAGTTTGACATTCAGGCACAACTAAAGGAGTACTGTTTTATCTTAATCAACTTGTTCCAGATTGGTGGTCTAACCATCCTGAACCAAGAGTTTGGGGAGTCCGTTTTCGAACCTAGTGAATCATTCCTGACGGCGAAGTTTGACGGTGTTCTGGGAATGAGTTACCAATCCCTTGCAGAGATTCTGGGCACCAATGTTTTTGACAACATGATTGCACAGAAGCTTGTGGACCAGCCAGTGTTCTCCTTTTACCTGAGCAGGTGCATTCATATCAGGAGCTCACCATTTCACCTCAATTAGATGCTCATTGTCATGCTCAGAGGAGCATGAGAGGGAGGATAATTACTTCTTCCTGTCTATTAACCTCTTACTACCCACCTGGTTGTTGGCAGCCCTGCTGAAAATATGGATGGGTTTAGTCTTACATTGTAGATGTTAAGAGGGTTTATTTTTAGAATTTCTGGGTAAGCAGCTTTAAAAATCATGCTTTGAAACAGGCAGAAGTTTCACAACTAGTTCTTAAGTTTTGATAGAGTTTTGGTTGGTCAAGAGGGAAAGGCAGAGCAAGAGATAGCCACAGAGAAATGGAAAGGTCAAGGGTAACCAGGAAGTTCAAAGGGGTTTTACTGTGAGCTGTGGAGATTAGAGTTTTTCCCAAGGTTTCAGTTTTTTAAATAGGGTCTGCCTAGTCTGTGTCTAGGTCCAAGACTTATAGACTTCCTACCATCTACAGTGATATCAGAACAAATCCGCTTGGCTTCACTGACAAGAGCATCTGGTGAGCAGTGTTTCAGAGATACTTGATGTTTAGGGAGGTCTTATGGCTTCTAAGTATGCTTAAGTACGACAGGGTAATTCTACAATTTCGATCATAGACATGTTAGGATAAAGAAGAACAATCACCAGGTGAACCAGGAAGATCCACATGGTTGTAATTATTTAAGCATTCCTCCAGTGTTTCAGGGGTCCAGTCCAAGAGTATCTGGTTAGGCACTCGACAGAGATGCTGTACTTCTTGAGGGATATAAATGTGTTTGTTGTTTTTAATATGAGAGTTCTTATCTTTTGTTTACGTAAATGTGAGTTTTGTGCCCGCAGAAAAACCGGCCGTACCAATCCAGCAGGGGAACTGTTGTTAGGTGGAACAAACGAAGCGCTGTATATTGGACCAATCAACTGGCATCCTGTCACTGCCAAGGGGTATTGGCAGATCAAGATGGACAGGTACATTTTTCATATCCCAACAGCACAGCACTTTGGCAGTGTACTATGAACCACTTACACTAGGGGAAATGGCACAAGACCTTTACCCTTTCTTGTGAAGACATTCATTAATAGAAACATAAAAATGCTTAATATTTCAGTGTAGCAGTACAAGGTGTGAACTTGTTTTGTCCAAGTGGATGTCAGGCGATTGTTGATACTGGAACTTCCCTCATTGCTGGACCAACCAATGACATTCTGAGGCTCCAACAGCTGATTGGAGCAACACCCTCAAACTTGGGAGAGGTACCAAAATATGTCATCTCATAGTCTACTGAAAGACCAGAGAAAGTTATGACTTTTTCAAAGAAAATGTTTAACCTACAGAGGGGACACTTAGACCTACTACTTATTCCTGCTTCAAAAACAATATCAGATATTTCTTGAGAATACTATATGACTACCGTAACTGAATTTTTTCAGCATGTCACTCCTCATTTTGTGTGTTTCAGTTTGTTATCGACTGTGCCAGGTTGTCCAGTTTGCCTCAGGTGACTTTTGTCCTGAATGGAACAGAGTACACACTAACAAGTGAACAGTACATCAGGAAGGTAAGGAAGGCTTATTGTTTTCTTTAGCTTGTGTTAGAACAGCTGCCAGTCTTCTCTTTCTTTTTATTTTCTTTTTCTTTCTTTATTTTTTTGATAAAATAGTAGGAAGGGTAATTGTTTTGGCGTATTCAAAAATGCGTATTATTTTATTATTTTAATGATGCACCTGTCAAATGGCTGAAATCAGAGATTGTTTTGAAATGCAGCTAGCATTTAAACTTCTGTTTATAGATTCTTTGCTTTTTTTCTTTTTTTTTTTTACCTCACGGCTAAAAGAAACCACATAAAAAAATTCATAAATAGATCATTAATACATTGAGACTTAAGTGCAAATTTAGTAATTTGGCAGCTATATTTATTTTATATACTTTCATATTTTTACTAACAATTAAAATTGCTTAAGAAATAGAATGTCTCTTTTATACATGAAGCTACTAAAAAACTACACAATCCACTTTTTGTCATTATCAGGAGACACTTGGCAGGAATGAGTTCTGTTTCAGCGGTTTCCAGGCTATGGACATTTATTCCAGCACAGACCCTCAGTGGATTCTGGGAGATGTATTTCTGACAGAGTACTACTCCATCTTTGATAAAGGACATGACCGGGTCGGCTTAGCACGTGCCAAACACTCTCCTGAACCATAACTTATTGGCGAACTCAACAGTAAATAAATACTGCACAATTGAAAAGCATTTTGTCATTCTCTGGCCTATTATTGTTCTCACATCATTCTCCAAATACATCAAGGACAAACAACTGTCTAGAAACTGCTGAATATTGCTGACAATACATTAGCCATTACTTCTGCCCCAATGACCACAAAGTTAACATTTTATTTGAAAAGGTACAGTTATTGGAGATTTAACAGCAGCAACAGGGATTGTACATTCATCACTTTATCTACATTTACAAAAGCACGTGTGATTTACAGTAATCACGGAAAGAAAGAAGATTTTGTTCTTATCCCCTGAGTACCAGTGTTTCATTAAGTGTTACAGTTCCTCTAATGGCCACCAGATGGCATCCAAGAAGAGTTTATTGAAGTGGATGAGAAACCCCCCTCCCCCCCATTCTTTCAGCATAAACAGCTAACTTGAAATGTTCTCATGTGGGCTGGAAATTATTCTTCAGCTAGAAAAATCACAAAGATACATAGGCTTGTTTTTTTGTTGTTGTTGTTGTTTGTTTGGGGTTTTTTTGCACACGTTTCAACTCTAATAATTGTTGATTATTTTGTCTCATTTTGCCTCATTTCAAATTTTTTAAGGAATCATCTATGGGGGTTTTGTAATCTTTGGAATACCAGGATTAAAGAGTAATTCCAGCAAATTTATTTTTAATGTGCTACTTAACGTCTCATTGGGCCATACTTAATTTGCACATTCTGATACAAAAATTCAGGAAAAAGAAAATTCACACAAAACACCATATGGTGAGTTAAACAGCACAATTTTTATGCATCTTTATGAAAAAAAAAATTGCATTTGGACTGTAGATGAATATGCAGATAATTAGCTTAAATCGGCAGTTGCCCTGGATGAAGTTCCTGAATTGAGATGGCAAAATGAATGATCTAAGAGATGGATTTCAGTGTTTAACCATCCAGAGTCTGGCTCATCACAGTGATTCATGATTTCCCATTTTAAATTTGAAGTTCACCATTTAGTACACGGGTTTACAAGGGTACACGTTTTAAACTTGTTCAGTTTCCAAGGTATTTCAGTCAAGTAATTAAGATTGGGCATAAATATATTGTTGGATAAAAAT